CCTGACCCGAGACAGCCCAGCCCACAGGCCCCTGGCACCCCCATCTGCCCAGGGCATTGGGCACCCTGGGAACCTCTGAGCCTGGGAGAGAGGAGGCTGCCCTCAGACCCGGAGTGCCCACTGTCCATGGGCAGAGTGCCCGATCTTTGTCTGTGCCGGTGGCTGTCCCACCCTTCTCAGAGGACAGTCCCTGACCCCATGACAGAGAGGGAAGGACAGCGACAGGCGGGCAAGCAGGCCCCCCACAGCCTGGCAGGGGTGCAGCATGGCCGGCCCCGCCCGAGTGGCAGGGGACATGCACCGACTTGGGGGCTGGAGGGCTTCCCTGACCCTGAGTGCAGCAGCCGCCCTGCTGTGAGCACTGGCTCTGAGCCCACCTGCCTGGTCTCATCCGGGCACTGAGCGGAGGCCTGTGTCAGCCCCACTCACCAGGAGGCTGCGGCTCAGAGAGGGGAAGTGAGCTGCCCAGGGACACACAGCAGAGCCGCGGCCGACCCCCAGGGCTTTGAGAGCCAGCGATGCAAGCTCAGCTCCGCATGGCGTGCGGGGCCCAGCCCGGCTGTGGGCTTGTCACCTGCCCCTCCCTCAGATCACGAGGTGGCGGAGAAGGAGCTGGAGTGGGCGGTGTGAGGACGCCCCTGCCCACGAAGCCCGGCCCCTCGGCGTCTGGGCAGCAGCTCACCCTGGCAGTTCTTCCCACTGGGGAGGAGGCGGTAGCCCGAGGGGCAGAGGCACTGGTAGCTGCCCTCCGTGTTCCGGCAGGCGTGCTGGCACAGGCTCCGCACCCGGCACTCGTCCAGGTCTGGCCGGGCAGTGGTGGTGGTGGTGGTGGTGGTGGAGGCAGAGATACAGGCTGAGTCACAGACACCCCCGTGGCCACTCGCGTGCCCGCTGTGACAGGTGGCCCACTCCTTCTCCCTGCCCTGCCCCACCCGACTCTGGGTTCGGGGGTTAGCAGGGTCCGGGGCTTGGCAGACTCGGGGAGGGGGAGCTCCGTCCTGTCCACCTCAAGGCCTCGGGGGGCACCACCCCCAGCCAAACCCCAAAGC